AAATAACTTTGTTTGCATAGTATGTTTTCACTGAAGCATTGACCTTTGCCTTCCCACCTAATTCCTCCAGAATTCAGAAACTCATCGTCATGGTAATATAGCTATTTGCATAAGTTCAATAAGAATCTGTTCTCCTGGTAACAAGATATAATTGGAAACTTTGGTCATAGGGCCAAGGCTTTGACAGTAATGTCATATTTAAGAACGAAATGCACAGAATCAGTTATGAACAAACAGTTTTAAGGAATAAAGGTTGACCTTATGGAGTGAATGCTTACAAAGCCCTCTTAAGAAACCTGCCTATTACCTTGCTTACAGAGTTCCCAGCCTTCCAGAAGGGTAAAGAAGGTCATTTCCTGGTAAGCCCACGAACCTCAGGACCTCAAAAAGAGAGGAATTCACCCAAATATATAGGTATTGCAGATAAAGTCTGACAGCAAGTTCTTAGCATGGCTTCCTAACGTCCAGAGGCTTTCAAAAGTTTAATCCGGGCCAGGCAAGGTGGCTAATGCCTGTAATTCCAGCACTCTGGGAGGCCAAGGCGGGCGGATCATGAGGTCAGGAGTTTAAGGCCAGCCTGGCCAACATGGTGAAACCCTATCTCTACTAAAAACACAAAAAATTAGCAGGGCATCGTGGCATGTGCCTGTAACCCCAGCTATTCAGGAGGCTGAGGCAGGAGAATCACTTGAACCTAGGAGGCAGAGATTGCAGTGAGCCAAGAGCATGCCACTGCCCTCCAACCTGGGCGACAGAGCCAGAATCGATCTCAAAAAAAAAAAAAAAAAAAAGTTTAATCTGAAATTCCTTGTCAAAAGTTCCAGCAAAGCCAACTCTAAAAAAACTCATGTCATCAATTTTCATTTTTTGGCACTTATATCAATAATCAGGCCAAATCTAATGAAACCAGACATTTTACACCTGAGAACAATCTTACTTTGGTTATCCTGAATCAAAAAGCGGGAGTGACTGTAGAGAGACATCTTATGCTTCAGTAGAAAACTACAGCATACCCCATGGGTTATCGGTTTCTAGATGTGTTCATTGTCTTCGAGCTATTTTTCACCTCTTTGCAAACTGAGGTCTGCCATTTGGCATATTGCATATTCCACACTCTGCTCCAGGAAATAACCATGACCATGACACTGATGTCTAAACCATCACCAAGAGCATTCAAACTGAAAGCCAGGAAAGCCACTGGAGAGCCACTGCCACCTTCATTCTGCCACCCAAAGATACTGCAAGCCCAACATCTAGACTCAGAAACTGAGTTCATAGTCTGCTCTAGCCATGCCTTTTTGTCTTCCTTTTTATTTTTTAACATGTCTAACTTGAACCATCCAGCAATATCCTCTACTGCCAAGTCTCAGCAGATGATTCAGCTGGTCCTTAATGAACAAAAGACAACCAACGAGAAATGGACTTAGATAGTTCAGACAGAAGAATGTCTCTTCTTTCATGAACAAGAAGAGGGACTAAGGGCCGGGCGCGGTGGCTCACGCCTGTAATCCCAGCACTTTGGGAGGCAGAGGGAGGTGGATCACAAGGTCAAGAGATCGAGACCATCCTGGTCAACATGGTGAAACCCTGTCTCTACTAAAAATACAAAAAAAATTAGCTGGGCATGGTGGCGCGTGCCTGTAATCCCAGCAACTCAGGAGGCTGAGGCAGGAGAATTGCCTGAACCCAGGAGGCGGAGGTTGCGGTGAGCCGAGATTGCGCCATTGCACTCCAGCCTGGGTAACCAGAGCGAAATTGTGTCTCAAAAAAAAAAAAAAAAAAAAAAGAGGGACTAAAATAGACTTTCTGTTTAAACAAACTTTAGACAGGCTCCCCCACGACCTCTTTTTAACAAAGCATTGTCTTCAAGTCATAGGGTCCCGCCTATCCTTGCCCAGCCCAGTTGATGCAACCAACCCACCAAGTCAGTTCAGACAGAATCCCCTGACTCTGGCTATCTGATCACCTCCACATCCCATCGGATTCATCAGCCCCCACCTTGATAGCCGATCATTGTCTCAAGTCAGTTTAGCAAGAGTCCCTGACTTTTGATGTTCCCTCTTAGGAATTTTCCATGCAGTGATCTCTCACACTGCTTGTTGGCTGTGAATCCCCAGCTGTCTTTGTTGTATTAGGAGTTGAGCCCCATCCCTCTCCCCTGGTTGCAATCTTCTTGACACCTATCAGAGTAATCCTGAGTAAAGTCTTTACTATTTTAATAGGTGTCAGAATATGACTTTGAGCAAGTCATGTGACTCCAGTTGTCACATCCATCAAATGAAGCCCCCCCGACCCAAGTATGCCCTGCTCCGAAGCACACTGTAACTAACGCTGTTTCCTCAGACCCCTTGGGGCAGTTTCTTTCCCCAAATCTGACCCCCGCCTGGAATCTGCCTTTTGCACTGACATGCTCTGATGCTCCAACATCTTCCTGAAGGCAATGGAGGAGGAGCCAGTACCAAAGCAGCCTTCAACAAACGAGATTCATTATGCTGCAATTTTTACTCTAAAACTTCAGATGAATGGCCAGGCACAGTGGCTCACACCTGTAATCCCAGCACTTTGGGAGGCCAAGGCGGGCAGATCATCCAAGGTTGGGAGTTTGAGACCAACCTGACCAACATGGAGAAACCCCATCACTACTAAAAATACAAAATTAGCTGGGCATGGTGGTGCATGCCTGTAATCCCAGCTACTAGGGAGGCCGAGGCAGGGGAATCGCTCGAACCCGGGAGGCAGAGGTTGCGGTGAGCTAATACTGCACCATTGCCCTCTGGCCTGGGCAACTAGAGTGAAACTCCGTCTCAAAAATAAAATAAAATAAAAATTTCAGATGAATATATTTAGTAATATATCTGCTTTCATTCCACTGTGTACATCACATTTTGCATACCTTATTAAATAGATAATCGAACTTATTTTCCCACAATATTTCCATAGGGCCAGGGCCTGGGAAGGCCCTGTGCATGCTCCCACCACCCTGACACACACCTGTGGACCCCAGAGATCCAGAAGCCCAGAGTGGATCCTCTTTAAGAATTCTCTTTTCCCAGGAATAAGGAAACTAGGCATATTATGGTCTTAATAAAATAGGTTTTACATGGCTTTTTTTTTTTTTTTTTTTTTTTTGAGATGGAGTTTTACTCTTGTTGCCCAAGCTGGAGTGCAATGGCATGATCTTAGCTCACTGCAACCTCTACCTCCCGGGTTTAAGTGATTCTCCTGCCTCAGCGTCCCGAGTAGCTGGGATTACAGGCATGTGCCACCATGCCCAGCTAATTTTTTACTTTTAGTAAAGATGAGGTTCCCCCATGTTAGTCAGGCTGGCCTCAAACTCGCAACTTCAGCCTCCCAGAGTGTTGAGATTACGGGTGAGAGCCACCGCAGCAGGCTGGTTTTGCATGTCTTGATAAAAGAGTTGTTTTTTTTTTTTTTTTAAAAATAGACTGATGCTTTGACTCTCAAAACATTTACTCCTATGTGTTCATAAATGTAGCTATATCTAGTCGTTGACATTTTAGCTTTAAGTAATTTGGTACGTAAAACCTATATAATGTAAATCTCTGCAAAAATGCACACAAAGTTAATTCATATTTTTTTCTAGCTGTAAATCGAATTTATCACATAATGATTACAAAGACAGCATAACCTGCTGGTTTTTCAACATCTGTTAGAGGCATCAAATCAATCTTAATTATTAAAAATGTACAGTTAGTGTCAGGGTCAATGACTCTACATAGTCCTTCTTCTTTAAAATGGATGTATAAATGAAATTAACAATACAAAGAAGCCGACTGGTAAGTTCAAGGAAAATGATTTCACCTTTGATTTGGAAAAAAGCCTGGTTCCAAAACTAGGAGGGAAGGCACTAATGTGGAGGCGCTTTAGAAGGTTTAAAAAAATCCACAGAAATACTGGAAGATAACAGGTATCATGATAGATAAGTAGATGTCTCTCGTGATTAAATAATTTGCATCTGTAATGGAGTGGAAATTAATCTCACATGACTTTTCATAATGCTAGAAATACAGAAAATAATACAATTTTTGAATCCCTTAATAAATATTAAACCCATAATGTTGTCTCAATACTCTTGTCCATTCATACACTTAAATAACACTCAGTCACAAAATCAATCCTGATCGAAGAGGCAAGTGCCACTGAAAAAGTCCCACTTTGTTCCATTGTCAAATGGGTAACAATTTTCAAAAGGTAAAGAGCAAACCAAATAGTGAGGGTTTTTTTCAATGTTTTGGTTTGGAAAGTCAAATATGAAGACGTTTTATTTGCTGTAGGTTACAAGATGTAAAGCCTTCCCTGATCTCTGTGGCACTAAAATTTCAATTATTGAATGTAATATCAAAATACAGCATTCAAAATTAATGAAAGAGTATTTTGTTATGCTTAAGAAGAGCATACAGAAATTTAAGAAATAATTATATAAATATACATATGTGTATTTTTGCATAAATCCTCAAGCTTGTAAAATAAACATATATTCTTCTAAGACAGCAACTGAATTTGAGAAAAGGACGAAGTATTATATTTTATTGTCATAATTGATAAAGGGAAAAGTATTTCTCTCTCACTCTCTCTCTCCTCTCTGCCTCTCTCCTTGGGTTATTTGATACAATTCTACGTATTTTAGTTGTTTATTTTGTGTTTTCCAAACAATCACATGGCAGTGAGAGAGGGACACTCATAGATATATTTTATGAAGGAGAGAATGGGCTACCTCTGGTCAACTCTCCGTGACAGTAGCCTCACCAGCATAAAGAAAATGCAAAACTATCTGGGCAAAGGAAAGGAATTATTTTCAACCCTTGGCTTGAAAAATCACATATACAGTTACAGTTAGAACTGAGGTATGGATAGTTGGTTCACTTTTACCTCTCAAGTGTTTCATTTGTTTTTGCCTATCTATGTTTCATTTGGGAAAACCCAACAAGCCTTAAAATCCCAATGCACATCATTGTCACTTAAAACATTAACTCACTTACCTGTTCTCCTTGGTCTTGGTCTCCATGATCGCTTCTCCTGGATTTGTTTGTGAAAACCATGAAAGTATGTTTAAGTCTTCCCTGTGTGCTTCCTTTAAATGTGTACTCCAAGTTCAGCTCTTCCTTGCCAGTGGGAAAAAAAAAAGCCTGTTTTCCCCTCAGTGTCCATTCATCATCTGATGTCAGGAAACATGGTTGTGTTTTGCATTTGTGTTCCTTAAAGTATGACTCTCCAGTGTGATAATGGTTGCCTTCTGATCCAGCGACCCACAGAAGTTCTGAAGGTAAAACAGTGTGGATTCGCTAAACGTTTTTGGCTTTCCCCCAAAGCAAACTCAATTGATTTTCATCTGATAATTTTCTGTGCTTCTTGAAGGTTCCTAGGAAAGATGGTCCAGAAGTTCTTGGATTTTGAAGTTTCTCACCCTCATCTCAGCAGAGGTAAAATATTCCCTGGTAAGAGCCTTTCTTCTGGCTCTGATGACATGGACATCTTGGCCTCACTTCTGTGATCCTGGAAGAAAAATCAAGGAAGGGTAAAAAAGACTTCAGGAAAAGCACTTGAAGTCAATGTACTACACTGAAAATGCAATTCCTCATGGAAGACGGCCATGGTCCTCAGCTCCAGTGACTTTCTAATTATACTCTGCTGGTGGCACAACAGCTCTGCCAAAGAGCATGGCATTTGCCTCTCACCTCACAAGACAGGCAACCAACAAACGTACATGTGCAGCTATAGAAACTGAAAGTACAGCCCAGGCGTGGTGGCTCACGCCTATAATCCCAGCACTTTGGGAGGCTGAGGTGGGCAGATCACCTGAGGTGGGGAGTTTGAGACCAGCCTGACCAACATGGTAAAGCCCCATCTCTACTAAAAATACAAAATTAGCCAGCATGATGGTGCACACCTGTAATCCCAGCTACTAGGGAGACTGAGGCAGGAGAATCGTTTGAACATGGGAGGCAGAGGTTGCAGTGAGTGAAGATTGCCATGCCATTGCACTCCAGCCTGGGCAACAAGAGTGAAACTCCATCGCAAAAAAAAAAAAAAAAAAAAAAAAAAAAAAAAAAAAAAAACCAGAAAAGGAATTAAAAGTACATCTACTTGACCACTTAGCTTCATGTTCCCTCTATTTCCCTGACTTCTTCCAAGTGAAAATATATGCTTCACTCACACACAATGTGCCTTTAACAACACCCTTTAAATCCAAACCTACAACTTTTTTCTTTTTCTTTCTTTCTTTTCTTTTTTTTTTTTTTTTAGTCTCCTTCTGTTGTCCAGGCTGGAGTGCAGTGGTGTGATCTTGGCTCACTGAAACATCTACCTCCTGGGTTCAAATGATTCTCCTGCCTCAGCCCGCTGAGTCGCTGGGATTACAGGCACCTGCCACTACACTCAGCTAATTTTCGTATTTTTAGCAGAGATGGGGTTTTGGCATGTTGGCCAGGCTGGTCTCGAACTCTTGACCTCCAGTGGTTCTGCCTCTCAGCCTCCCAAAGTGCTGGGATTACAAGTGTGAGCCACCACACTCAACCCAAACCTACAACCCTATATGTACAATAATAACTCATGTTTGAAAGCAAAATACTTGCCTTAGAAAAGAAAGAGTAAATGTGTCATCAGAAAGGCTTTATTTTACTAGTAATATTCTTTATAACTATTGGCACCTGTAATAGTCAACCATTTTAAGAAATAAATAGAAGAAAAAAATGACAAACTTTTTATTTTATTTATTTTTTAGGGTGCTGGGCACAATCTGGGCTGACCCAAGGAAGTCTCAGTGAAAATGACAAACTTTTTAGCCGGGCGCAATAGCTCACGTCTATAATCCCAGCACTTTGGGAGGCCGAGGCGGGTGGATCACGAGGTTAAGAGATCGAGACCATCCTGGTCAAGAAGGTGAAACCCCATCTCTACTAAAAATACAAAAATTAGCTGAGCATGGTGGCGTGCGCCTGTAATCCCAGCTACTTGGGAGGCTGAGGCAGGAGAATTGCTTGAACCCAGGAGGCGGAGGTTGTCATGAGCTGAGATCGCAACATTGCACTCCAGCCTGGGTAACAAGAGTGGAACTCCGTCTCAGAAAACAAAAAACAAAAAACAATAAAAACCAAAACTGACTTCTTATTCTGTATTTGCTATGCAACAATGTTTCACTGTGAGGGAAACAAGGAATGTAGGAATAATAGCCTAAGCTATGCTGATTACATTATTAGTTCTCGGATATTCATGAAAACCCAGGAAAATAAATCCATAGGCACTGTAAATGCTTTTCTGAAAACACTTCCCCAGTAACTTGCTACAATTAAAAATATTACTAGGCATCACGAGTGAGATTAATTTAAACATACCAATGCAAAATTTTATTATTCTTTCATGAATAATTAATTCATGAAATTTTGATTGCCATGTCAAGAATTAGAAAACCTATATATGTAAATTAAGGATTTAAGAATTAAAATTATAATAAGGAACTATATTAGCAAGAGGATGGAAACCTTTTGTATGATAATAACTTAAAATTGGACTCCAGTTTGAAATATTTAAATTAAAAGAGGTCATGTATAATAAAGTAGAGGATTAGGATCCATTTCTTTATCTGTAAAATATAGGAATTGGAATTAAGTGTTCTAAGTTATTAGCACCTTTAAATGCTACAATTCTAGACAAGTATATATATTTTTAAACTCATCAATGATTCTGAGAATAGAAATTAATACAAATATGTCTTTTAGATAAAAAATATTTTGCTAATTAAAATATCATTATAGATATAACCTTAAAATATGAACTTATTAGAGAACACATGCAGGTTTTGTATGATTGATAAGAGCTGAAGGGAAATCTGGAATAAGTTGCACTGGAAACAAGATCTCCAGGGCTGTCTGCACTGGGACTCGGCCTCTGTGGGAACACCCAAGGGGAATCTGAGCAGTATTGATCTCAGTAGGACACTGCACATTCATGCTTGTCAGCCTCACTGAATCTCTAATTCCAGTTTGTCGATAACTTTAAGAAAACATGTTCTATAATCTAGAATATTAATTAACTTCTTATCACCAGGCATGTTTAATAAAACTGCTAAACAGCATAGAGCCCCGTGGCAAATTATTAACTTTTACTCCCAATGGACAATGATACATTCATTACAAAAACCAGTCTTTGAATAGTAGTTCTCAGTAACTCTCTTAGCTCTTAGTAATTTCTCTTAACTCTCTTATAAATATACTGTCATCAGCCAGGCGCAGTGGCTCACGCCTGTAATCCTAGCACTTTGGGAGACTGAGGTGGATGGATTGCCTGAGCTCAGGAGTTTGAAACCAGCCTGGGCAACATGGTGAAACCCCCGTCTCTACTAAAAAATACAAAAAAATTAGGCATGGCAGCATGCCAGTGTATGCCTGTAGTCCCAGCTATTCCTGTGGCAGGAGAATGGCTTGAACCCGGGAGGCAGAAGTTGCAGTGAGCAGAGATCACGCCACTGGATTCCAGCCTGGGCGATGGAACAAGACTCCATCTCCAATAAATAAGTAAACAAACGGTCATCAATCACATTTGCTCCAGTCATTTCTAACAGAATAGGATGATTCTACCCAGTGTATTACTGACCCAAACTACAGTCTTCCTTCTGACTTGCATTGCCCGGTCAATCTGAAAGTCTCATCTATAAAGGGCAAGTGGGTTAACACGTGACTTGTCCTTGATGAACGCGTGCTAGGTCTCAGAGATCACTGTGTCCTTGTCTCACGCCTCTTGAATGCGATCTCTTTCAAATATTCCAGCCTTTAATTTTATTTTTATTTTCCTATTTTTAATGTTATTTATTTTTTTTAATTTTTGAGACAGCGTTTTACTCTGCTGCCTGGAGTGCAGTAACACGATCTGGGCTCACTGCAACCTCCACCTCCCAGATTCAAGCAATTCTCCTGCCTCAGCCTCCCGAGTAGCTGGGACCGTAGGCATGCACCACCACACCTGCCTAATTTTTGTATTTGTAATAGAGACAGGATTTCAATGTTTTGGTTACCTGCTCCCGAACTCCTGACCTCGTGATCCACCCACCTCAGCCTCCCAAAGTGTTGGGATTACAGGCGTAAGCCACAGTACCCAGCCCAGTCTTTAATTTTAATACTACTTCTGCCATTAACATCTAACTCAAAATTTAGAATTCCAAACACTATTGTCCCTTTCCCGGACACTTAGAACTTACGCAGATGTTCATCTCACTGCAACCTGCCACAGTCTCCGTAGCGGTCAAAAATTACCCACCGTGATTGAACCATTGTGTATGCTATGGGACAATACATGCGAAGGTGAAATTACCCAGATCATTCTTTTCCCAAAATCTAGTCCCTGATGAAACACCCTCACAATTTGTTTTTTACTTTTCAGTTCTAACATACTGCTTTGATGATGTTTGGCCTGTGTACCATGTATTTATTTTTTATTTAACATTTTTTTCCCAAAATGATATTTTAATTAATTAAATGTATTACGAAAAGAAACTTTCCATCTACTATAAATGGAAACCCAGTACCACGAATAGAGAATAACTTTAGCGACAAATAAAATAAATACAAAATGACTTATTAAACACTGATCAAAGTGCCTCCCGAAAACACTGTCTTTAACCTGCTCTTTGTTATGAAAAACGGAGATCAGTAAATTTATGAGAAAATGTATAGCCTTTAATGATTTCATCCAGAAAGAAGAAATGCTAAAAAAATTAGTGACTTAAGTGTAAAGTTTATTGCCGAGTTTAAAATGAGGAAACTGAGGCTATTATAAGAAAATGAAAATCCAATTTATTCAGCTCCCGGGCGAGGTTCCATGGTCCTGGGGAGAGGAGCCAGGGGAGTCGAATCAACTTCCTGGGGCATGGGGTTTTTATGGCTAGGAGGAAGGAGCAACAGCTGGATGCTCTGATTGACTCCAGGGGAGCGGGATTGAGATGGGGCGGGCCGCTATTGGTTGGCGGGTTGTTGGGCGGATTTTCCAGTGGGAAAGCCTGCCAGGAGCCTTGCATCAGCTGGAGACTTCCAGGTGTGCCATGTGGCAGAGCTAGGTGCAGAGCCTGGTGCCGGGTGCAGAGCCTGGTGCCGGGTGCACAGGTGGGTGTGTCCAATCTTCCGGCGAGGCAACCGGCCTTACATTAAGTATCCATATTAAGAACTTAGGAAAAAATACTTTGGGGATAAACCCAAAGAAAATAGGAAACAAAAATGAGAGCAGAATTAATGAAAGGGAAAAAAAGATACAGTGGGAACTAACAGAAAAAATAAAATTTAATTATTTAAAGACGTTACTAAGATTGGCAAACTTCTGGAAGACTGATCAAGATAAAAGAAAAAGAGCCGCTGGGCACAGTGGCTCATGCCAGTAATCCTAGCACT